TTGGGGTGTTTGTGTTCAACTATCAATGTTTTTTGTTTGTTCCGTTTCTTCTGTTTTGCGCCTTTCGTGTTCCTTCTCCATTCTTGTTTGCTTTCTGTCTTTATTTTGGCTTATCTCTTCCGGTTTTGTTTTCTGCTTTATCTCGTCCTCTCGTTTCATTTTCCCTCACCCCTTCCTCTCTTCTCTCCTCCTCTCTCAGCACCTAATTTATTCTTCCCGCTCCTCTCTCTCTCTTCACAGCACCTTCTAACTCTTCCTCTCTCTCTTCTCTTCTTCTTCTTCTGTTTGCTTGGGTTTGTTGGGGGTGGGTCTTTTCTTCACCGCTTCGTCCTCTCTGTGTGGGGGGGTGTTTGGCTTTTGTCTGGCCCGTGGTTTTCTGGTTTTTTGTTTTTTTTTTTGTTGGTTTGGGGGTTTGGCCTCTTTTGCCTTATGCTTTTTCTTTGTGTCGATCGTGTGTGTGTAGTTATAGAGATATGCTACGCTACTCGAATCTAGAGTCTATTCCAACATCCTCTCTAACGATCTATCTCTATGGCTTACATCACGTGACGCTAGGGGTCGGTTTCGAGGCGCCTATAAATGTGAGGGAGGGATTTACTATACTCCGTAGGAGTGATCGGAAACGTCCGCTCCCCCGAGCCCTCGCGACGCAACGGCGCGCACGCCGCTGCTCCACAAGATCTACGTTAATAGCGGATCACGAGATCTGCAAGAGCCCGCTATAGCGTGTCGGCAGCCGGCGAAGAACGCCAGCTACGCGGCTACAAGAGAGGGCTAGTCAATGAGCCGCTGTGCCGCCTCGGCAGGATGGGAGCTCCGGGATGTACAGAAGATGCTCTCAGGATCCATAGTGGGCAACCACAGCGTAGCTGAGAACCAGGCCCAGAGCTAAGCTACACAACTCTGCCAAGCGCCAAACAAGGTGAGGTAGTATTATCGACGGGAAACACGCCGGAGAAGAGACACACGGATGAGCAATCACGCGTATCCGCCTGGTCGTCATGTCTTCAACACGCGCGCCCCGGAAACACGCACTTGACAGCACACGCATCTTTTTAAGATTTGGCGCGCATATATAGTACTATAAATAGTATATATTATATATATATTATGACAACACACACACACCATGCATGCACGGTTCTGCTAACACTGCCCATGAACATGACATATTTGAATATTAATAGGAATATATATTTTGGTTTTTTATATTTTTTTTTTTTTTTATTTAGGCAATTATCGGATCATATACAATTACAATGAGCATACATTTATACAATAAAATTCTGCAATTCATAAATTTGTGATGACGTACCAAGGATTATATACACAAAAAGCTTTGACTACACACTCATTGTTTTACATTGGTGTCCTTGTTTTGCTATGACATTGAATGCTATATTACACTACTTATCCAGCCTAACTACTCGCACCATACCCCCACCCCCAACACTCCCCTGTAGTTTAACCGTCATATCATGTGAAGGCATTCTCTATAAGACGATACAGGAACTTTTGTTGATGCTAATTTCACCAGAAATTCTTTAAGCGAAAAAATCATACTCCTCTGCTCTAATGTTCTACTTTCCATCAGCATTTCTTTAAACTATAAATAGTGAAACTGAGAATAAAACAAATTTGTCCTAATTGCTGTGTTAGAGAGTTTCGAAGTTCAATTGGCAGTATACGTAAATAAGGTTTTTCCCCTCGCTCTACCGACCCTCGGTTTAAAAATAGACATCGTCACCTTCCTTGTTTGAAACTATGGTACTTCTGACGTATAACGGTGATACTCTTCTGTCATTATAATTGTGGGCCGAGATTATTGTAATATTTTAAAAAAACCTATTGACCACTCAGTTGCATTACGACTGAACTCACAGGTACCTCAAGTTACAGCTTGAAACTCTCTAGCCCGTATTGTGTCATAGTACCTAGTTTGAGGACGACATCTAAGGGCTTTATTTTGACACTCACTTGCAGCCTAGCCTTGTGCGCTTTGTTGAGACTGCTGTACCATATACTCTTGCATTAGTCAAGAAGTGACATTGAAATTAGGTCAAAGACTGAGAATTTAGCATGTCGTGTTTAATTACTCTAGCTTTTCTGGTGAAGAAATTCAGTCTATTGTTAGCCTTTTTTATCACTTAATTCCGTTAACTACCACTCATGGAGTCTTCCAAGTCTTATTCCGTGATAGCTTATTACTGTATTTTATGTGCAATTGCACATTACATCTGATGTCACCAGTTTTGAATTATTCCTGGAGTTTGTGTTTATTTCAAAATTATACTTTCTGTTTTTTTCCAAGATGCAAGGAATAAATTATTATCATTGAGAACCATTTATTAATGGAATGAATTCTCTACTTAAGTCTTCGCTGTCTGTACCTCTGTCCACTGAAAATAGTAGGCCTGAATCGTCAGCATATCACAAAGCTTGACGTTAACTGCTCTTTGCCATGTCATTAACATAAATCATAAATACCAGCGGGTACAAAATCAGAGCCTTGTGGTACTCCAGCATGCAATAGGATCCTTATTTAGAGAAGGTACCTCCTCCATCAATTATTTGGCTTCTTTACCAGAGAGGATAATTCACGCGGATGGCGCGCGGCTGCGCGCGCACACACACACACAGCACACTACACACACACACATCACATGCGGGTCACACCACACACACACACCACACACACACAACACACACACACCACACACACACAAATGTGCCGGTTATTAACCCTCTTATCATTGAAAAAAGGCAGATCTTTAACAGATCTTTAATTACTGTCATACATCCTTCCTCTGACATATCTCTATCTTAGGCTTTATTCTAAAGGCTTTATTCACACCATTCCTGCACGACATTCCTGGTAACCTGACCTTTCTGTGACACCCCAACCCCCATTTTCATCGCAATTATTTACTTTGACGCTACCGTTATGTGACACGACCTGCGCGTGACACGACACTCACCCGGATGGCTATTCGATGTGACAGCACTTTCTCGTGACGTTTATTCTCTATGACACTACATTCGCGCGACGCACTCTTTTCCGAAGCAGGTATTCTATCTGACGTTGCCTTCCTGTGACACCTCCTTCGCTTGACAGGTATTTCTTGTGACACTTCCTTCTCGCGATAGTTTATTTCTCGTGACACTGTCTTCATGTGACAGACTACGCTTTATATTCGAAAAGTTGTTTCTTCTAGAAATTGCCCTGATATCACACTACCCGGCTGATGCAGTTATTTCGTCCAATTTAACTTCGTGTGACCGTTATTATATGCGACAGTACCTACATGATATCGTGTTAGATTCCCCGGGGAAATGTGACACTGTTAAATCATGCGTTCCGTGTCATGAATGTCGCGTTGCGTGTGATTACGTGTATTACGTTATTGTGCATCATTCCTGTTGTTTTCTCCCCCATTTTCTTCTTTGCATACGCAGACACACGTGCGTTGAATAGCGTCATTGCCAGGTGCGTGTTGGTGTGGACAACAACAACAGCATAAAATAAAATACAAAAAAGAAAATAATTTTTAATAAAACATTTTTTATCTTCTTACATTCGAAATTAAGATCACAAAACACACAGACGTGTTTCTATATATATATATAATTTAATATTATATATATATATATGTGTGTGTGTGTGTTTGTGTGTGTGTGTGTGTGTGTGTGTGTGTGTGTGTGTGTGTGTGTGTGTTTGTGTGTGCGTGCGTGCGTGTGCGTGTGCGTGCGTGTGTGTGCGTGCGCTTGCGCGTGCGTGCGTATACGCGCTATACGTATCGCTCGTAAATTCGTGGATTCCGTCGTTGCGTGAAGCGGGCGTGCATGCGCCGTTTCCGTAATTCGTCTGGTAATATCACCGGTCTCTCATAATGCGTCTGCTTGAGCTGCCTCTCACACTATCTACCCCGCAGACCTCCGTTTGCCCCGAGATTAAAAAACATAAACGGCCAGAAAACATAAATCGACGCTTCGCAGTCGTTTTTTTTTTAAAGGTAATGACTCACAGATTCCGCGCCTGTCCATCGTAAAACAACTCCACCGCTGCGTTCAAGATGAGGTTCTACCGCCAGATATTGCGCGAAAATTTGTTTTAGAACGACAGCAGACATGCCATCCGACGTTGAAAAATTCTACATGTGCCGCATGATATAACATATTATAATATCTATGTATTATAAAAGGCGTAGATATTTAACATCAATATAAAAAAAACTACTATTGCATAATGATATCGCAGGAACTTTTTCGGCGAAACTATTTCTAATTCGTTTTCGTCGCAGACATTTGATAATACCCGCACGGGCCGCACCATACATCTAATATCATGTAGACTCTCTCTACAGTTTTATTCGGCGCTACGTTATTTCCGCGCAGAGACCCACGAGCGCCATCTATCGGCGCGTTTCGCTAACATCTGCGGCAAACCTCACATGTCCGACGCAGCGCTCTGCTTGCGTTTGGTCAGCTGCACGGTCGTACCATCCGAGCTGCCCACCGCGCGCCCACCACCCCCACCGCTGCTCGTCACGTCACGCGGGACGTCGTCCGCGCCGAGTTTCGTCCGCCAGGCGTCTATATATATATATATATTGATTATTGATTATGAGTATTATTATATTACTTTTCACCAAACTAGCAACTTTTTTACTATTTACTACAAACTACTAGTACTCGTAGTTAGTTGAGTAGTCTAGTTAGTCTAGTAGAGTAGTGGTAAATACTAGTAGTTAACTTATACCACCGTTTGTCGTTGCCTTCTATGCATTGTTCCTTGTTATACACGCCCTCTTTTTCTCTCTCCCCTCTCTCTCACTCTCTCTTCCGCTCTGTCTCCCACCCCTTTCTCTCTTTCTCTCACACTCTCACTATGTCTCTCTCTCTCTCCCTCTTTCCCTATCTTCCCCCTCTCTCTGCCCTCTCTCATCACCTCACTCACTCGCTCACTCACTATAGTTCACCTTTCTCTGCCACAGCTGCTGGATGGCGCCACCGTACTTCTACTACGGATTTCTGCTGCCGCTCTGCGTCATACTCGCTTGCAACGTCGTCGTCCTTGTTCTCGTCGTCAAAGCTTTCACTTGCGACCGCAAGATGGCGCTGCGCAGCAACCAGTCGCGTCGCGTCGTCGTCGTGCGACAGCTGGTCGCCCTGGCGGCGCTTGTCGCCGTCATGGGCCTCACGTGGCTGTTCGGTCTCCTAGCGGCTGCCGGCTGGCTCGCCGGACACTATCTCTTTTGCATCTTCAACTCGCTGCAAGGTTTTATCATCTACTTCTTCGCCGTACTGAAGAGCAAGGCTGCGCGACTATAAATCGCTGCCTTTGTACAGCGAACTGTCCGCGGCCAGCATGATCACGACCAACACCAGAGGTAGCCCTGTGCGCATCAACGAAAACACAATAAGATGGCCAACGTCTAAACTTAACTTAATTAAATTTACATTAATTGAGTAATTCAATCAGTCGTTCACTAGCAAAATAACGACGTTAAACCGACCAATCAATTTTAATTACATTGAACCTCAACTTAAAACTTCAATTTTAGTTTTGTGTGTGTGCGTGTCTGCGTGTGTGCGTGCATCCGTACGGTATGTTGGTGACCGCTGCGTCCGCGATAGATTCTTTGGATGATTTATGATCGTTTTATGTGCGTTCCCTTCTTCGCTCCCGTGAATCAGAAATTTCGTATTCTTGCGGTTTATTGCATGGTTACTGTCTAATTTATCTTCAAAATAGATAAAGACTATATTATGTCTCACGAAATTACCGTTATTAAAGTTTTACATTTAACAAAAATGAAAAACAAATTAATATGGCGACCCTGATCTCAGCGCCCTCTATATCGCAGGAAAGTGAGGAAGGGCAAAGCACAGCTGACGCTGCTCCACCTGGCGGTGGCGCTGCTGTGCTTGCTTGTCATCTTTCTCGTCGGCATCGAGTTGACGGATAACTACGTCGGCTGCGTCGCCGTGGCTGTGCTGCTGCATTACTTCACGCTTGCCGCCTTCATGTGGATGCTGGTGGAGGGCTTCCTGCACTACCTGCGCTACGTCAAGGTGCTGGGAACGTACGTGCCAGGATTCATGTGGAAGGCTTGCCTGCTGGCCTGGGGTAAGTGCGTGTGTGCGTGGTGGGGGTGGGGTGAAGGGGTGAGTGTGTGTGTGCGCGCGCACGTGCCACGCACTTACCCCAGGCCAGCAGGCAAGCCTTCCACATGAATCCTGGCACGTACGTTCCCAGCACCTTGACGTAGCGCAGGTAGTGCAGGAAGCCCTCCACCAGCATCCACATGAAGGCGGCAAGCGTGAAGTAATGCAGCAGCACAGCCACGGCGACGCAGCCGACGTAGTTATCCGTCAACTCGATGCCGACGAGAAAGATGACAAGCAAGCACAGCAGCGCCACCGCCAGGTGGAGCAGCGTCAGCTGTGATTTGCCCGTCCTCACTTTCCTGCGATATANCTTCTCTTTCTCTCCCCTCCTCTCTCTCTCTCTCTCTCTCTCTCTCACCTGAACATGGCGAAGGTGAGGATCGTGCAGGAGAGACCGACGATTGACATGACGCAGCCGACAATGCTGATGATGCTGAGAATGCGCGCATGCACGTCCGGCACCGTCAGCTCCACGTTCACGTCCTGCCGACACACGCAAGCGACATTAGTATGAAGAGGAGGAAGGAGGGGGAGGAGGAGGAGGAGGAGGAGGAGGAGGAGGAGATGGAAGAGGAGGGAGGAGGAGGAGGAGGAGGAGGAGGAGGAGGAGGAG